CTTTTTGACGTCTGCCCTTTTCTTTTTTGTAGATGTGCCGATTGTACTAGCTCCATTAGGCAAATTTAACATTGAAAAATTACGTACTTGTGCGCAGTTGATGCTTTTCGTTGGTTGCTGTTCAGCTGTTCATGTCTAAACCCCTTTGTTTCTCTCGAATGCTGAAATTCCGCATTTTTTCGGCGTGTGAATGAACCGTAAAGTCTCTACATCAGCCAGTGCCTTTTATCGAGTGCTTCTACTAGTCGTTTTCTAATGATGGCAAATCAATAGTCTAATGCGAGTTCACTAGAAAGCCTTAAAAAGCTAGAGGAATTGAACGTAGTAATCTTCAACCACCATCCTCAGAAAAACAGACGTCCCCAGTTTTGCGATCTAGCATAGTTTTCCATCATTTGGAAGCTCCAAGATACTTACCGAGTTCGAATATTGTGTAGGGAACGAGTTTAACGATGGCTCTGCGTCATTTCTTTCGAAACGTTCTTCGATGCCTTTTACGGAACTTACAGAGCATTGGCGTGTACCATTCAAGCGAGCCATACAACCTAACGAGGTCATTGAATTTAACCTATTTTTCTCTCTCTCTGCATATATGTACATGTATATATATACATATATATATATATATATATATATATATATATATATGTATATGTATGTGTGTGTGCGAGTATGTGAACAGCAATTTATCGTATTAACAAATGGGCTGCACCCAACAAATTTAGTTCTACGTTAACATCAAAAAGTCGTTACACATACTTTTTTTTATCCTTAGATTATCTAAGTCAACTCACGAAACTCAATAATACCTTTAAAAGGGTTGATTGTACAAAGCGAACGATATTCTGTGTCGTTTGCTCGCTGTTATCGACTGTACGCAGGTAATACGCACTATCTCATCTTATTTATAGAAACAGGAAGGAACATCTTAACATATCAAAGATCATGACGTAAGTCAGTTTTTATACTTGAAAACAAACTAAACGTATTTTCTTTAAATTCATCTGAAAGACTGTACCGCCAAACGTAGAAATACGTTATCTTGCTAGATCGCCTTCCTAAATAATCAGCTCAAAATAAAAAGGAACGACGTAAGAGAAATTACAAGCACTGTTCTACGCGAGATAGTCCGTGTGTCTAATACTCACCGTAATAGGTAGACATCGAATTAACGTTGTCCACCAGAATCAGAGGAACACGACCATAAAGTTATTTCAAACTTTCTAGAGGATATAACAGGAGGTAGTTCATTAAAATGACAGTGTTTCTCAGACAAACATCAGCTCTGTCAAGCTGATGTGAGATCGACAAAACTAAGTGTTTAACATAGACAATAAAATTTAGAATTTAGTTATTTGAAGCGTACGGAAAACGTTTTTCCACCAGTTAAGATGTTGATTTTAACGCTCACTAAGCGTTATATAAGAACTACACTTAGGAGAAACTGCATTTTGGTGCATTACGCTACACAGCCCAAATATCATATTAAAAATAAATAAGGGAGTTGACAAAAGTTTCGGGAAGGACACATTGTGGTTGTATAATAAGGATCAACAAGTGCGCCTAGCGTGAAGCAAGTGGCCTCGACAATGTAGTTGGTCGCTGAGAGATTTGAGATAACACAAAATTAACGAATCAATGGGCCGGTGCGATTTTTGTTTGTATAAGGCAAAGAAGCGCATGGTTATAACGATAACCAGAAATTCCATAATTGCTAGCAAGTTGCAACGTAAAGACCTCACAAATTTGGTACTAAATGTTTGCACCAAGACAGACTATTACGGCTAACGAATTTCCGTAAAATACTGAGTAAATCCGAGGTATCGCAAAGAACTGCTGAAGTTCTTTTTATATAAAGGCAAGTTTCAGCTTCTGGGAAGAGGTCAGACGGCGAAACAGTTGTGCTGCATCTCACCGCATATATCTAGAAAGGTCATTGTATCATGCTAAGTAGATGTCGGAATCAGTACCTTGGTCTGTGAACGAAAACGTCTAGGAACAATATATATATATATATGTTTCTTTTTTTTTTAAATTTGACCGCCTGTCTACTACATATATCCTTTCTTGCCAATTAATTTAGTCAATTGCAGTGCGTAATGATTACTTATTTAAAGGTGGTGCTTTTATTCTTAATTCTATTACCTTCTGCTTTATCCTTTAGAAAAATAATCTGAAACAACAGGACGCTTTCGAAAGTCACTACATACATATTGCAGTCGCGTGACACTTAATTGTTTTTCGGCAAAGGCCATCACGAACCAATGTTTCGCTGTATGCGAATTTTGGCCCATCGACATAAAAGTAGCGTGGCAGCTTCGCTTCGAAAAGCACCTTTATTGTTGGTGTTTGTACAATGCGAAACGATGTTTTCGGATACAGCTTCTTTTTTCCTATTGACGAACGTGTAAATTTTTTATGAGACTTACTTCTGAGCGTCACAACTTCGTACATAGTCAGAAATCTTTGCGCGTTTTTGAGGATTTTAAAGGGACGGGCCGTCATTTCCCCTACTAACGCACAATTTTGGTGGAATATTAGGCCGGTGAATAGTTTCAGATTTTCACGTTTCTCGTTTGGTCTCTAATACACGAAACTTCGGTATTTGCTATATTTAACATTTTTTCGATGTCACAAAGCTGCGCAAGTGGACAGGACTCTAGTTAAATATATATAGGCATATTTAATAATTATCATTTTCTAAAAATGACTCAAGACAATTATTTTTGTACTTGAAAAAACAAATGGAATACGTTAAATTCAAGATGCCATTTTTTAATTTAGCGTGCCATAGTTTAAACGGTATTTTTGGCTGCAGAATCCTCGTCATACCTATTTCGATTACTTTTGGCCAGATCTTGAGCCTTGGTCAGCAGGAATCCGAAACATCGGATGAAGAATATTAAACATACCACTTCTACCAGAGGTAAAACCTTGTCATATGGACAAAGCGAGCTTGCAATAGTAGGTGAAATAGTAGTAACAATTGAATAAGGGAAAATTTAAAAGAAAAAAGTATGCACAAATATATTATAGAGGTGGAATTCGATATTTGTAGAGATTGTATTTCCCTGCTATATTTATAAATTTACGTAATATTCGAGATAATTATTGGCTAGAGTGGAAATTATCTTACGGTTTTCAACTAAAGGTTTCATCTGCGAGCTTGGTTTTAGTGCTTGCTTTCTGTTGAAGCTATGGCATTTAGTTGCATTTCTGATACTAACCAAATAATCAGTCGGTAGCTTTGTTAACTGGAGGAAAGAGAAATCAATTTCACACCTGCAGCATTCAGTTTTCATGTCCTTCTATTAGAAACAACAAAATTCTTATACAAGTATGTCAAAATCCGATGAACTTATAATCACGTTCTCTTGAGGAACGTTTATACGAACAACCTCCATTATTGGCATGGACGTTCGAAGGGCGAGCCGTCTGCTAGGTATCATTTAATAGTTCAAGAGCCTACTATCAACCTATCCATCGCATGCTTTTTTATATAACACAAGCCTTAGAATCACCTTGACTGTTCCGAGGACATAGACACACCATATAATTAAAGCATCACTTTAGAATATATCCGATATTGCGTTGATGTAATTAATCACGGCAGTAGACGTGGTTATATTGAGATTAGCAGCAAGAAGAAGGACGAGAACTTCAGTAAACGTATTTTGAGGCTAATGAACTCAAATATATATATGCTATACATCCCCCAAGCTGTGGTGCTAAACACCTTTGTGGTGCTTCATTGATATAAAAGTCACATTTGTAAAGATAGTAGTTGCAAATGAGGAATTTCCTTTACGACTCCCAATTTATATAAGCATGTATCACGTGCCTTCATAGATGTCGCATTACTCAACAGGAAATGACAGCAGTGTTATCCAACAAGAAAAGAAAAATCACGTGGATTATTTCATCATTAACGATAGAAACTGATATATTTAATTTCACCGTGATGAATTTATATTTTTTTTATTAGCACACAGTCTTCATCAACCGGAACGTTTCCTGAATATTTTTCAAAGTAGGGGGCAGCCTGGACACAGCAGCGCATCAATCAATACGCGAACTTCGTGACCGTTACGAATATCTTGGGTCATCAGTTTCAATTTGCATGAGACGTATTCTCGATAGGGTCCTGACTGGCGGCCTTTATCTTTTTCGGCAAATGAAGGATAATCAGCGACTTCGGTCAGCTGTTAGCGTAAACCCGAATAACTATCGAAGCCAGAAAGGCAGTGTCATACTCGCCACTTTAGAATAGTCAAATGCATATATAGACCCCTTGCGGTTTCGCCGCTGGCTGCTTAACTATTTTACATAATTGAGCTTGATAATAGGGCTAGCGGCGCATTGATGTTATGGGTAGAAAGGATACATTTACAATGAATAGTATCGAAACAATATTAGAGCAGTGGCGGCACTCGCTAGCAGGTGGCTTGGGGCACGTGTGAAAAGCCTCCCGGCACGTACTACTTACGACCAATGCCTCCAATAATCAAACAACTTTTAATTAAAAAAAGAGGCCCGTTTAAGCTCAAGGATTAAAGGACCGTGTCGGATAACATCATACGATCTACTATTCGCTTGTATATATAAGCCTAAAGATTGACCTGCGCTTACGATCTGCTGCTACACAACAGTCGGCCCTGGTCAATAGTATTTGTCCAGATAGTTAATGTCTATTTTCCACAACGCTGCTCTGTTCATAGTGTATCGATGTTTCTCCAGCATACATAATGCTGCAGTTAGTTTCATGTTCCATCTTTATCAAGCACGCTAATTCTCCTGATGATACTGAAAATCCCCTATCTAATAATATTTCCTGATCATACATGCTTTCTACAACAAAGACCTAAGACCGTCATACGTAGGTTCAATTTAAAATACTCGGCCGTTAGGAACGAAGTTGTTTAAGAGGTAAAGTTAGTGTCTAAGTGTATCACGAAACAAGACACATATCTAAATAGTGCCCATTAAGGTTTTGAAATTTATTTCATCTAACCTTGATATCTTAATCCTAATATCAGGTATTTCTATATGTGACAAATGGGTATGCAACAAATATAAATCAGACAGGGTAGTATTGTACGCTTCGCACTGTTCTGGAATAAACACGCGTAGCGGATATAAAATGAAGCCGCTTTATAAATTTATATGGTTGGGCTTTATTGAACCAGTGCAACATATGTATTCAATAAATCGTCCGCATTCGAAGTAAAAACATAAAAACCGTGTAAGCCCACAATAATAATGAACTATTAGCACACAATCTAAACGACCCTATCGTTTAGTAACAACGTTGGGTTTATTACCGGTCTTTCGTCATATGTATATATATATTTTTTCTTTATATATACTTACAGGCTGCAATTTTCACGTAACTTGCATTAAACCTAATTCACGTTATCGCATGTTCATATTATAGGTTTTCGACTTCTGTTTACAGTCATTAGAGGACTTTTATACCCATTATATATACGTATGATGACATTTATTCAATAAGGGCTTGTTCTCTTATCTGCATTATCTAGATTAGGCTTTGTCATTTATACATGACTCGAAGGCCGGCCGGCCGGCCGGCCGGACGGTGTACTTCAATATATTTCGTTGACGTAAAGAAACGATAGCAACGTATAGATATGTGCTATTCTACGCACCAACTACATCAGGGGGTGTGGATAGTGTGATACTACTGATTCTGCTAGACTATTTCTATAGATTTAATGAATATAATTATTGTTACAGTTACCGCCATTGGAATTGCATACATGTATATACGATAACTGTTGATGGTTTACGGGGTAAAAACCATCAACGCCTTATCGATAACAACCATTACATTTCAAAATAGCTTTCAATGCAGCTATCGAAAACCTAGTGGATAAGGGCTTTCCTACATAGAATTGTCATAGTCCTCATTTTACTGAAACCGTCCGGCCAATAAGTTACTAGAAAAGATTACACAGTGAATCAATTGGTTGCGGTGCTAAGTAACTCTGGATTTACGCAAGATTCTCTCATATCGTACGTATGAAAGATTATTCTATGTATTCTGGCATCTGCGCTCTTCTCTAAATCAGACGAATTTTTTTCTATGATTCCCTTATACCTTTTTTTCAGTTATCCGCGCCTTAATCAACAATGTTGGCCTCATCAGAAACGGACATACGGGGACTCATATTCTAGCCTAGTCGAATTGACTTTTAGAAACCTCATCGTATATGATCATAATCCTACATCCTGCAAAGTACGATCTTTTTTATTGTAATCATTTACAATGGCACTGAACCTTTTGTTGGTTTAAGAATTCTCGTTGCCCATCATCCTTTTGTAACGTTGCTGAAACAATCCCGTATAACGCTAGAATGTCACCTAAAACTTCTTTCCCGGCTTGTTTGTCTACCTATATAAGTTCTCTTATTAGGTTGTTTGTTAAGGTGGACGATCAATAGATTATTTGTAGCCGATGTAACATGTATTACTTGCGTTATACGCATTTTTTGCCAGCGTGCAACGTGGAAGTTGAGGATACCATCTGGCTTGTGTTGATTTTTGCTATCTTTACTTGGTTTTTGTTCAGTTAGTGGTCATTGCTATGGTGGATGCATGCTCATTATGGGCTTGGCGCCATAATGGGGTTTCTTATTGGGCTGCGATTAGTGATCAAACATTGAATTGGACGATATCTCTCCAGTTTCATCGCGTCTTTTCTGGCTATATTCTAATGCCGCGGCGTGTTAGTACTGGCTTATCTTTTGGTGGTTGCTTGTTCGAGAAAACCCACAGTCTCGTCGTGTACGATATTTACGGTTTTTGCGTTTGTTATTGAAAGAGGGTAGGAAGTAATAGTCTACAAATGTTAAATTATTAGCAGGATCGTGCTAGCGTTGGTGACAGTATAGCACAGGTCGTTGATTTTGGCCACTGTTAGTCACACGTGCTATTTCGGCGTCTGTAGATATCTAAATGGGTCGGGTCAATTTTATCCCCTCGGGACAGAGCATCAAAATTGATGATGGGTTGTGGAAATAGGGAGCTACCGGGCGTTATTATCAAGCAAGACTATTGCTACATGTCTGCGACTATGTCAACTGCTTTACACAGTTCTAATCAAGGCCAGTAACTTAAGAGAGTTAAGTAAATATTCGGAAAAATCAGAATATTCAGAGACAGGGTTAATACACTTCTGTAATCTAACGAGTGATAATGTATTAGATTTTACCTACCGGGGTAACATAACGGTATCTCAATTGCTGCATGCCGAGCCTATTGCTTAAATCACGCTTAAAATTCTTGGATTCTTTGTGTGTGTACTACTTTCTACTAATCATTAAACCAGAATAATATTGAACTCCCATAGCTATTCCATTTTACGTCTATTTTGTCTTATTTATTTGAAACCTTCGTTCGTGGTATTTGCGTCAAACTATGACTTTTTTGCACTAAAACAGTGATTATATAATGCCAACGGTCAGTATCCCTATAGCTAAACAATACACAAGACCCCTTTTTCTATCAGACTCAATAATCCTTTTTTTTCTTATCCTGAATTCTTATCAGCGCATATCATTTCTTCTTCTATCTGAATATGAATTAAAATAGCCTCTCCCTATAATTTGTTTCCTTTTCCACCATTTTCGTTGTGTTTACACCTGTCCCGCTCACGTATGCCTACTGCTCTCCATGTCGTCCACATCAGACAGTAAATTAATAGTAAGAAAAAAAAGCCCTTTTATTCTCAGATCAAGTTTATAAGCCTCCCGGTGACGTTGAAACTACATACAGTTTAATGGTGCTCATCTTTGTGATCACATTTTTTTAAAGTAATCCGACTATCAATTATTTTCATTTTACGCAGGCGACCGCACATAGACAAGTATACGCTAAGCTACTGATCAGTATTTGTATATATATGTGTGCGTGTGTGCATGTAATATATGGAGTAACATCGACGTCGTAAGTATATAGGACAGCAATGCTGAGAACGATTTAATGAAGGAAGGGGGCATTCTGTTTTCGTTTACAAGATTAATATTTTCAAACATTTTCCTTGCGCTTGCATTGTTTTATAAAATAAATGATGTGCTATACTTGATGTTTATTATTTGATTGTACGCGTTTTCTTTTTCTAATTTTGCATACTTATCTATGAAACGTTATATTGCACATTTACAAGCCCAGACCTATAATACAGGCAGGCTCCCACAGGCTCGGTTTGCACCTTAGCTGATTTGTTCAATTGTTAGCGACACATCGCTCGCCGGCTATTCTTCTCTATAGATGACACCTTGATCTAAAATGCCGCCTGTACCTTCTTTCATTGCTGTTTTCAAGAGTTTCTTTGATTTGACAGTTGTTTTGCCTACATAGTATGTTCTTAGGTTCGTGTTATCTGTATTGCCGCTCTATTGCTATGGTGTTATTCAAGAGGGTAGTACATGAGGTGTAGATATCTTGTCTATATGTTCAGATTACACTAATAGTCCTGAATATAGATGTCAATATACAGTAAATTTACCCAACCTTCCTTGGTCCTGCTAGGTTCCTATGACCCTCGTAGCCGGTAGTCTAGTTGTGTTGAATTCTGTGGGATGCAAGCGCTTTGGAAATATTCGTTAGAGGGTTTCATCAACGATGACGAAGCGCTCCCATATTTTTTGCACCTTTATCTATAAATGTAAGGCTTTTTGATAATTATGAGTAAAAATGAATGACCCAAAAACGGAAATTCGTATTTGCGTTATCTGAGGGAACGGTGTTTTCCTTGTGAGTTTTTAATTAATTTACTGCTGTTTCCTAAGGGAACCTAGTGTTCAATAATAAAGACGGTTAATGGTAACGACATGGGTACGAGCTGTTGCTTGATTTGAATCGGAAAAAAATCAGCTGGAAGTTTATTGGCTATGGGCGAATGAGAAGGCTGTACAGGAAACGAACTGTGTTTGCTTTACATCGTTACCGTGACCCTGCGGACTATTGATGCCCTTGGAATTGTTGTTGAACTAAAGGAGTGTACTAACGGTGCGATTAATATTTTTTATATTATTTATTTAACATGGTTATGTTTATGTTACTTCAATTATTGTAATCATCATCAATCAATATCATTGTTATTATTATCCCTATGATCCTTCATTAATTAATCGGGTCAAAAATCAATTCAGGATGAAGAGAGTTGCATCGGTGCCTCGTATATGTTGCCCTGCTAATCGCAAGCGTCTCGATTACCTTATTTTATATTATTATTATTATTACTCGCCTCTCCTTAGTAAACGTATTATATTATTACACAATAGATATTATTTGCAGTGCTGCTAATTAACATTATTGTTACTCTTATTATCACCGGTCGCTAACGGTACCAGTAGCGGTGGTTGAGTGCAACGTGGCGCCACCTGCCACAGGTGGCGCCACGTTGCTGCACTAGTACCAGTAGTAACCTCACAGTAACAAGCGAAAATTGTTATTGTCACGTTTTAGTTGTATTATGTCGGCCACTTCGTCATGGCGTCTGCACCAACCCGGAAATCCCCACAGCATATTGGCTCTATGGCGTTTTACTACGCAGAATGATACAGTTTAGAGCATACGGAGCCACCTGCACAAGGTCGTCAGTGAGATGATAGCTTCATCCACGGTGTAATGACTGTGAAGAGCGATAACAATATCATTATTATGTCGCTTGAGCAAAAGCAAGCACGCCCTGGCAATAACTGGACGCGAGATAAATCTCTATTTCGAATCTATTTCTTCCGATTCTGTGAATAACTGTGACGAGACCAGGCGGCGGTACCATCAACGGTACAGGTCGCTACTGCCTTTTGCTTACTTTCCCTACGGAACTAAACAAAAATTGCCAGCCTCAACATAATTGCAATAGTGTCAAACAGAATAGTGCAAAATGTTTGCCACATGTTTGGCGGTCACCGACATTCAGCGACCTGTCGAAGGAGAGGCGGTCATCATAATACGGTCTCCTTTTCCATGATGTGCGCCTTAACCATAGCCTGTTGCTGCTGAAAAAGGACACTATGTGGAGGAACAGCCGGTAGGATGCTTGCTTGACTAATTACCAGAGGCTCATTACTATGAATCTGAAACATGAATGAAGATTAGTTCGCCAGAATATGTAAAATACTTAAGATCATTTATCCAGATCAGTTTTTCATTTCAAACATTAGCTGATAACTGTAACCAATTGTTGCTGATAGTAATAACTTGCCTTGGTTCGGGTGAGATCCCGATGGCGGAGAAGATCTTCGTGGCTGCCGGTAAATCGTGCCAAACTGTGGATACATTTTGAAGAGTGAACAGGCCGATTTAATATTTGTTTTTGCATTCACTATCGATTTTCTAAACAACGCACGTTTACTTACAACGCAGGCGTAAAGTCCTGATCAGCAGGACATTGTTTGTCGACTATTTATCATTGGACAACTATTTATCGAACTTGCAAACACTCGTTAGCACTTGACAACGCGGTATACTATGGGATCACCCCTGTTTGTCGGACCGTGAAAACCATTTGGACATAGTAGACTCAATAACTCCCATTAAAAATAGGATTAATGAAATGAACCTCTGTGTAAGGAAAATTGTGACCGTAGCAAAAAATATTTCGAATTTTCCCACTACAATTTGAAGGTCGCATGATGTGAATTATAGAAGGTTTATACCAAGCTACTGTTACATTATTACTAACTATACAGGTGCACTTGTTAGTATATGATCGGAACCGTCTGCAAATTATAAATTAATCCGCTTAAGGAAAACGCTAGGAGCGGGATAGTTATGAAGGGTGTTTTTCATAACGGACAGAAAAGTGCTGCCGCGCAGGTCGGTCAAAAAGACCTACAGTGGAAAATTTTTCTGCGCAATATTCCTTCGCTCAAAGACAATTCAAGTATTGATACTGATAGAAAAACTGAAGATTTCTGCTTTCTCAGCTCTTAATCTACAGCTGAAAGATAAAACCCTCTGTAGTCAGCATGCTTACCATTGGTTATCTAAAAATGTTCAAAGAATTACTTTGGAGTACGAGAAGCAGGGGACAAATTTTCTGGGTGTGCATGACTCTTCTTATAGTACTTAACCTCAGCAAATTTAATTTTACAAATTATAGGCCACACATGGTACACTTCTTTATAGCTATACTTACTAGTCGTGTTTTATTTTATTATTATACATCTTAGAAAAAAATCTATGTATGAAATTACTATGCGGCCATCTTGATTGATATGGACTGCATCAGATAACGTAGGTCATCGACTCGTTTTCGTCAGCTGGATTTTCCAGGGGAGGCGTGCGCAAAAATCGAATAGGACCTAGAAGTGGGATATCTGCATCCTTTCGGAACTGGTGCAAAACACACTTTTAACATAGCCCTTAAACCTGTTCCTGTAAATATCCTGTGCAGGTCTCAATTAAAACATCTCTTAATTTGCGAACTTTATATGAACGTCTGGTTAACTGGGTCGAGTAATATACACTGTTTGTGTAACAACAAGCCTAGAGTCTGCCTAGATTAGAATTGCATGTCCTCAGTGTGATCTATGCGACCGACGTCTAGGAGTGCGTTAACAATTATTGCAGTCCAAGACAGGCCTCAAGGTTTGCCAATCTTTCACAAACTCCGGCCACGAGACATTTCGATTTAAATTAGCAATCAAGAAATCTAAGTTCGAGCTATCGGAATCTCTAGACCACCGAAAACCAGCTTCGGCGGCAATTTTCAGAAAGTACACCCTATAAGTCTTTGTAGATTTTCCACTTAAACTCGCTGGAGAATCTTCCCCGTTGATCGGGCACTCTTTTTTTGCAATTGATATATACATGTAGAAAGCAACGACTGTTACTGCTTTATCGGTACGAGCAACGTTTTTTCTCAAAACACCAATAAAGCGCAAGTGCTATTGTAGTACTTTGAAAGCATATTGAGTCGGTCTGAGTGCCGCGTCAAGACAAACCAGGTAAATTGCATATCTTTTTGCAGTCAAACAGCTAACCATATTTCAGCAATAGAAGTAGGATTGCTAAGCTCATAGATGTTTTAGCAGCGCTTTTTACGAGAATGCTCATCTATGAAATGGTGTCAGACTACCTTAAGGAATCAGTAGTCCCACCCGTCCGCGAGAAAGTATTAAAGCCCCTGCCATGAAACGTTTGTTTTTTTTTACCTTCTGGTAGGTGACTCGGCTCCTACTGAAGTGTTGCTATGGATCGACGCTTGACGTAGTCCGACAATTTTGTCCGCCACGTTTGGATGACTGCCCGAAATAGCCAGCGGTCCACCGAATGGTGTCCGTTTTGGTGCTTGGGGTCTTGCGACCCGTTGTGAGCCGGGTATCGATCCCGTGGTGTCGATCCCAGTTCCGCGCAGCTCATCCAGACTCCCTCCATTGCTACCTGCTTTTGTCGTCGTTAGATCACTTTCTAACGTCTTGATTTTTTGACGTAATACATCTAGTTCGCGTGCCAAACGCGCGACGTCAGCTTGCAATCGTTCGTGCTCTGCGGTGGGGGGAGGGCGGGAGAGTATAGCAAAAACGTACATTAACCACTAAAACACAGGCTTGTAAAACAGAATCTGAGTTAAATAAAGCTCGAGCTCGTGTTGAAGAGATACGGTTTGTCTACCCATAGTCAGATCTAGCATTTACTATATATTTAGTATTTTTTTTTCACAAAAAATAATGTCTGTATGAGTTCGTTGACGACCGTGTTTCGGTTGAAATTCGCAATATTGATCACAGGGGTTAAGATATATGTTCCGTGCAAGTTCCAGTTACCTAGGTACTCTAAAAAAAGGCTTATATGTACGGTAACTGGGCAAATTCCAAACTATCTCGAGCGATAACTAACTCGTCTCGCGAATCCTCTCACGGGATATGCCCGATCTGTCATGAAAACGTTGCAGCTCTGAGAAATTGGAACAGCGGAATCTTCATTAATTGTTCTGACGGTAGGAGTCAAACAGGCTTGAGGTGTCAGTTTCTCGACATCTTACAGTTTGGTTTAGACGTACTGTTGGAAGCCCTTGAAGAAAGGCCGCTTACAACTATGTACCGGCAACTTTACATACAAGTGAAGTTTCTTTTGAGTGCTGTCAATAAAAATAGTATTAGATGAATTCATTAGAAGTCAGGTTGGGTGCGCTACATTGGCAGTCATCATCAATAATAGCTCGGTCGCTTAGAATTATCCAGCAGATGAGTCTCATTTTGAAAAAAAAAAAAAGGAAATTTTGTCGTTTTTGCGAGAACTCATTTAAGACTATTTTACAAAATAAATTAGAAAATATCTATGATATTGCTTTTATTTAAAATGTCAACACTTTATAGGAGCGTTTCGGCTAGATGGAACAATTATAATCACAAAATAATTCAAATGAACGCTAACATGATTCCTTATGAGATAATTCAAAGTATTTGATTATGTGCCAAGAATTTTTGGTCGACATGAACTCGAAATACAGGAATTTCTTAAACGTTATTTATGTAGTTGATGATAGGGAATCAGCCAAAGGGGAAGACGGGATAAGTTCTTATGAGGATCCCTAGGGCCAAGTACTTCACTGAATAAATCTAGCAATAACAAGCAATCTAGCAAAATAAAGCAATTTTTCCGAATTTTTATTTGGCAACCCTCGTCTGGTCGTCTGCCGGTGTATTGGTTTACTATCATCTAAGTTGCCACATTACCTGCGGCTTGCAAAAAGCGGTTCTCCGTAGCGCGTCTGAGCAGCATTCCCTGGGCGCTGTACACAGCATCCCGGAAACTGAGAGACTTGCCCATACTCTGCAAAAAATAGCAGTTTAAAAAATGATTGTTATCATTATTATCCAATACTAACGCTAGATATAGATCCTGGTTAAGTGCGAATTCAATTTTCAACTTCGGTCTTTAAGAGGTGCTGAGTTTAATTCACCTTTGGCTCCAAGAATTCGATTACCATTCACAGAAGCAGGCTGACGTCTTGTCCTCTAAGCAAGGTTGCCTCTTTGCTTCTGCTTTCTCCTACCGATGTTTGTTTTCTCAAGGGTTTTTCTTTTTGCTCGTTTTCGAGAATCGAGTGAATACGTTACAGCCTGTCCGCCATACGCGTGACATTATAATAAGGTCGCGAACGAAGCTGAGCTTAAAAAAGGAAGCCAATGTTTTGATTTGCCCCATGAGGTTCCGCTTTCCGGCTCGACGCATGCAGTAATAATATACTACGTTCTAATGTGGGTATAAAACGCAAGTTCAGTTCCCAGCTAGAAGCAAGCTTCCAGGGGGCATTTATGCGGCAGCATAAATGTATTGCCAATTTAAACGTCGATTAGAGATTTCTCTGCCTTAACACTAACGGGTCGTATTGACCAGTACATAGCCAAAAGCGTACTGCAATAGCACCCGTTTACCATACTGCCTGCAATCATGCATTAATGGAATCAGGCCAGGGTGGACCTAGAACTCACCAGACTGATGAGGGAGAAACAACTGCCAAAATTGGCCTTGGCTAACTGTTTTCGGCAGTATCTGAAGTAGACATGTTCGAGGATGAGCAGCACCACAGTGAGGAGGACCCCGCAGCCGAGTAGCAAAAAGGCGCTCATAAATTGGTTGATATCGAGCGGATTGCCTGCATTTCTACTTAGCATAAAGGATAACCGCTATTTACTAGTAATAGGTAATATCTCGTAAGCTTAGGCTAATATGAAAGAGATAATACACACAGGTTTTTTTTATTTATTCGTTTCCTTTATCATTTAAGACGACAAACAAGCCCACTTATTTAGAAATAGTCTCGAAGCACTAATTTAATAATAGGCTACCTTTTAGCTTTTACCTTGCGTTTCGATCGCTTCGTTGCATTGTGCTCGTTTTAGCACGCCTCGTTTGTATCTATAGTATTTATTTACACTTTTCCGATTCTGCTAGCCCGCCATTATAATGTACTTGACCATTTCTGACAAGGTTAAAGGCATCATGATGTATCCGTAAGCGTAATACAGACCTTTTTCGTTTGTCCGGTTTACAGGCACCTTGTAACCAAAATCGTTGCAATCTCTCGAGGTCACCGTGTTCTCGATATTCAATCATTTGGCGATTAAACATCTATTGAGCACCAATGAAAAGAATTAGTTTTCACAGTTATCCAAAACACCAGCTCATTACCATAGACTCGATAAGCTTAATGTTGAAAAAGAATTGCAAATATATGGTAGCGACATACCTGTAAATATTTGGATTTTTTAGGTAAAGCGAAGCCATAGCCTGTCATGGCATACCACGAGCCTACCGTGAGCAATCGACATTCGTCATCTTGACCAACGAAATAGTCAAGAACCGTCGCGTCGTAAATAAACGCATCCAATGTCCTGTTGAATCAATGAGATAAAACATAGCGTACGTGCAAAAGCGTTATTTAGTTGCCTGCTACGGTGGAGAAGAACATTCTATTTACAACAGAAGACCCGTCTCTGTGTGATCTCTATAGGTAATCGGCACAGGGACTCTTAAAGTTTTCCATCCCACTTTAAACGGTACAACAAATCAAGAAAATGTTATTTAGCCGTAATGATTTAAGAAATCACCTTGCGCGTTCACGGTAAAGCTCCTGCACCCATTTTTTTGAGATAAGCGCAATGGGCTAATTTGCGGTTTGAAATAAATATTTCCGTTTACAGCATCAGCTAACGATATTTACCCAGTGATATCCCGAACTACGAATATATTGGTTATCAATTCTTCGCAAAAGAAGGTTCGGTAGTTAATTTTAGGAGTTAGCAAGCTCAAAGGGGCTTGTCACAAGGTTCTTATTAATTTACCCTTTTTTGACGGCCTTAATTCCTTCATTAACGTTGGATCTATTGTAGGGTCTCATGTATTCATACATTGTTGGCTTATTTCGCTGGAGAACTTGCTCTGTGTTTCCATAGGGAATTGTTCCAAAGCGGAATGGTGGTTCCATCAGATGAGGATACCTTAACTGTAAAAGAATAAACTGGTATTAGTTGAAAACGCCTCATACTATTCGCGCGGTTAATACATTATTCTCATACACTGATTTGGCGACATTAATTTGCCTGGACATATTTATCTTGCCTGGCATCCGTGTGCCTGGTAAGCCGTTTTTGGTAAGCCGTTCAGCCGTGCGTCAGAATTATATTGTTTCATTGTACGCGCTCGCTCACTGTGAAACAGGGCTCATATGGCTACGGTATCGAGTCAAAGATCGTCTTTCCACAGGAATCTCTAGCTTCTACGTTCCTCTTGGTAAAGCGACGCTCCTGGGATAGCTTCCTCACAGTTACTATCTATGGCTTGACCTGATAGTCCGCGTCTCGGCCGCTGCATATCCATAGTAACTGACTTTCCTCAGGCCTCGCAGGCATAACAAAATGGATAGTACCCCTCGCGCAAAGCACGACGGGGCATTTGGCTGCAGCAGACGCTCGTTGTGGCTTAGCGTACGTCGGCACAGATTTTGTCTACCAAACACATGCTAAAACCTCACGAAGCTAGCGTTCACCTATGCGCCTATATGTGAAATGTCATGGGCCATCTATGTATCGTATTATAAAGCCCAAGTGTGATGTGCCTGATATCTCTTACCCCTATGCTGACTAAAAATTTAAGTTAAACAAGCACAAATACTAGGTAACAGCTAAGCTCAAATTTAGTTTACGTACGCAGGTGCGTATGCATAAGGCTTACTCGAGCCATATTGGCTGATCGTGGGTTTTGCGCAAACTAAGGAACGAAGTATCGCAAGAAGTGCTTTGGTTTTCATCAACCATACGGTTAACCATTACTACTAACAGAAAAATAAAAGCAATATTCGAAATGAATTAAGTAAAAGTTCTCACGAGCATACAAATTAATATGGAACAACTTACACGAGAGTCCTCAATTCCACTGAGGTCATAGTACTCTTCGCGAGTGATCATAAACGCAGCGAGGTTGGCTGTATAGATGGCAAGAAAGACTACGGCAAACATCGCCCAGACGTTACTCATGAAGCGAGCTGTGTAACCTCGAGGGCAATCCACGTTCACAGCCGCTCCGAATAGTACCGCCCACACCAACCAGTAGGTACGGAATAGCGAAAATTTATAATCTGCAACAGCCATGTCCATAACAACGACGACAAGAATCATAATAACAATATTAACAGCCATTGCGATTAATGTTACTGTATTATGAAGCACCATCAGGAGTACGCTGAGCGCCTGCATTCTATGTTGTGGAATCTCTTCTCTGCAAGTCCTTATCGCATAAGTTTGAAAGTTTTATGCCTGCTAAACGAGCATACGATATATGATAAATCAGTGTTAAATTCAAGGCCTAAATTTTGCCTTCTCTCGATACTTAACATAATGAACTTTATTTTCGATGCTCGAAAACTTCCGAGTAAGCGATATCAGAGCGCCTTTCTCTAGGTTTCAAATGTGTGACGATTGCTAATCGAGAAAATAGGAAACTTTTATTGCGATACACCGAAAGCCCTAAATGGTACCCAAAGGGGTAGTGTTTAAGTGATATAGCTGCAAACCGAGAAAAGGCCACAAAATCCCTGCTGCGAAACCCAGAGGACATAAGCAAATCCAGGTTGTAGGACGTTCCTAATCTGCGAATCAAGTTTGTTAATTGAATATCCTTTAGTTTCCCTAATGTCCGATAAATTTCCTAAATATATTAGATAAGCAGTTATAAACTCAAAAGGGACATTTTTGACTTTTGACTAGAAGATGATAATTAATTAATTATAATTAGTTTCCACTTACTTCTGGGAGGCGCGATCTTCATGTCGTAGCCATCGGGCGATAAGAATTCGAAAATGAAGATGGAAAAGGCCGCTACCTGGATGCCCACCAAAAGAATGAGTAGCCAGGATACTGTGTCAAACGGTTCTGAAACCCGTGTGTCCCGAATGACGCGTTATTATTCGCTTATAGTATTAATATGTACATATATATATGAATTGTGAGACGTTTATGTGGACGCTGCTCGTATGGACTATTAATATTCAGAATTATGTTGTGCTGTCAACAGACGAGCAAAACGAGGGGTGCATTAAGTGTTGTTTCTCGGCACAGGACTGAAGCGATGCGGCAAGCTTACAAATCGTCACTGTAGATTCATTTAGTCCCCGTGATACTTTAGCGGATAACGTATTTGCCCACCAATCTTAAGGACACATAGTTGTCTCCGTTCGAATTCAGGCATAGACAGACGGTTTGTCTCGTGACGGCTGGGGGCTAGCTATCTGATACAATGTCTATTAGTAAAACTCGAAACAAAGATTCAATCTTTCAACAATACCTCGTTCCTCGAGACCGGAGTTATGAAAAAGGGTCTGCACGTTATACGAATTCACTTGGTCGCCATGTGTTACGGCATTAAGTAAAGCTTCGTTTTGATGCTGGCGGCCTCATGCGGGGCCGCCAAAATAACAAAAAAAGAGATTTTTCCCCAACCACTGTTTCAAGTGCGTTGTGTTGGATACCGCACAGCGCTGCCACACGTTTATGTCGCATAAACAGCAAAAAAAGAGACAAGATTATCTCAAGTTTTTCGGCAACGAGAATGAATTTAGTGTAATAACATATTTTTTCGTTTTTCATACAGAAACTCTACTAACAAGAACGATATCGTCTACAATAGACTTCTATAGGGCTAGTTACAAGTTCAACACACGAATCTTCTGGCAATCAGAGAACCCGCAAGAACGAATAGCACGAGGCACGTTCCGTTTGGGCTACAAATTTAAGCCATGCGTGTGCTTCACATAACGAGAATTGCGTTTTTGGCGCTGGTCACTCTCGAGGCCTGGAGCTACTATTGTGTTATATCCTTTGGAAATGCAAGAGCAAACGGGCGCGAGAAGAGATTCAGTTTCTTTGGATTCTCACATCGATAAAACCGGAATAGAGAATTACTGTCGTTTGATCTGTTTGGGACAGTACAGCTATAGATAAGTTATTATACCTCTGTGAAGTGTAACTTCATTCAAGTCGCTTTGAATGGAACGGATGTAGATTTACGTCACACTATTGACCATTCGTATTAATAATCACAGATAAGTTTATAGAGATCTCTTTAGCTGTTTGGGCTGCAATGGAAAGTGCTATTAGCGTATAACTATAACATGATTAAGTCTATGCAAAAGGGCGTATACAAAAGGGTTTTATGTACAAGCGCTATTACAGGAACAGGATAGTCTTTGTGAGCCTGCGAGTTCGTGTCCTTCAAGAATACCGAATCCCCTTTACCTTGCGAAACTCCGTTAGCGCAGCAGAGCTGTTCTCTATCTGTTTAGACGTCTGACACACATTGCGCATGGGCATCTTGCAATTTTCTTTACATTGTTGCTGGATCTAAGTTCTTTTCTTAGCATCTCGTTTCTACTCAAATAAACTACAAAGACGCAGAGAAATGTTTCGAGCTAAGCGTGTTAATATGCAAGTGCGTCCAAGAGGTGTTCCTAGTTGTTCTAAATGGGAGCTATTGTTGCTTATGTAAATGCCAACTTTTCACATGTACATATACCGTGGGATGCCTGTCATTGTTTCCAGGACTATGTGGGCCGGTATGAAAAAGGTTTGATGTTAATTGAGAGTCTAATGTAACGAGTAGCGACGACACACATCATACAGTAAAAAGCTTTGCCATCACAGCCGATCGAGTTGGTGGGTAATCTCTGTTAGTTAGAATTTGTTACTACCTAAAAATGCTTTCGGCGAGATAATTCCGGTTCGTTTGGCGACCACAATGGCGATTCCAGTCTCGAGAAAGGGTACAGTAAAATCGACAGCTTCTTGACGATCCGAGTTGATTTTGATAGAAGTGACCACAATATCTGTATGCCGATTTAGCAGAGCTGCGATCAGCCCGTTCCATTTTCCGTTCTGCAATTGGCAAATTCCATTAAAGCGAAACACATGTCAACTCTTTGATTAGATCGATTGATTTCTTTGTCAACAACGAATATCAGACACATGATAATGCTTCGTCTCATTTGCGGTGCTTCGTGGAGGTTGTCAGTTACGATTTTGGCCTAAATCGACCTAAAAAAAAATGAATTATGCTCATGAAAGAGTCCTACGTCGGGGAAGTAGTTACTTGAAATATATTTTCTAGGCCTTTACTACAAACAAAGTACGTATATACAGTTTTAATACAACTGCTTTCTGTGATGAACTATTAGTGAAAATGTATTGTATTTTAGTTATATTGAGAAGATGCTTTTTAAATTTTTTTAAGAAAAATCACTCTCTCTTTCCGCCACCTTTCCCTCGCGAGGTACTCGTTAAATCAAAAGTTTTTAGTAGTTAGAAGTACAAGCGCTTCGAATGTTGCTTTATATATCACTTTAACGAATATGCGTGGCTTTCTATGCTCCTTTGGAGTTGTTAGAGTAGGTTGTCGTTCTACACAAAACTTTCCGCATCAGCTGTTAAAAACATACCAGTTCTTGCCACTTTTACCGCGGCCCATATCTAATAACCCCAGAACCCTTAACAGCATCACTGCTGGACCTACGTGTTTGTTTCGTATTAACACTGAAATATCCTTCCTAGTCCGCTTAATATATATTAGATGAATAAAAAAACATCAAAGGAATAAACAAGACAGCTCTCATTTAGTTCAGTTAGTGTAGTCTAAACTCTATATAGGTGTCACCTTTTTCATTTGATCTAGTTCTTTTAAAGAAGGTTATTTTTCAGCCCAATACAACGCGGCATTATAGCAGTAGCTAATACGGTGTGTTTAGTAAATGATGCGTAGCATGTTTAGTAATAATAAGTAATATAGAATATCCTATGCAGGATAACCAGGATGAGCCTAGCAATGAAGGTGAGCGTCGACATGAATCGTGATATGAAGCTCGTGTGTCTAAATGCATTTCAGATGTTTACCTAAGCTGGCCTTAATTCTAAGGTCTTCGCTACCCAAGCCTAACTAAGCCATTATCAGCATAACTCTTAGAAGTTATAAATACTGACATGTTTTTATCGGTTGATAGTTACATCAACCGGTATTTCGATGTTTCTAAAGATTTCGAATAGCGGGCAAGTATTTCGTTAAGCCGGTAGGGGAGACTGCCGATACATTTGCGGTATATGTCAGCAGCATTGAGCAATATATCGCGGATGCACGCTACGTATTTCATGAGATTACCCAAAATCCCAAAGACCTTTTCCCTTAGGTACTATCTCTTAATATGTGTCTCTATCAGTCAGCTGAAAGAAACCGATGCAGGTATCTCTAGTGCTAAACGTAGTTTAGCTGACCAAAGGAGAGCTTAAAATACTGTGAGTTTGTAGGTCCTAATACTACAGAGTATTGGAAATAGCATTATTAGATGCTTAAAACATAGAGCATTCGCAACATCATTGCAGTATGTCAATTACAATAAGGTTACTGAAGCTAATAAATTCAGTAACTAGCTACAGATCACATCCTATCGTGCGATTGCGTAGGGAACTTCCGTAGTTCCGGCAAACTAATTCGTGTAACAATGGTGGTGCAGAAGAGGCTAATGAGTGAAAGGCCTCATATCTTTGAGCACACAGATTCAGTACGGATGGCCTTGTAAGGTACCAATCCTATCGTTAGCAGATATGTACAGATACTAGCAGACGAAGCTCCCTCACGTTCTTACGGCTTGCGCCTTTTTTCGCCTGCCTTGTCTCTTTTTTTGTGACTTAATGTGGCAATGTCAAACTATTTCTTTCTGCTGGGTACGTTACCGCACTAACGAAATATATTCCCAGTCTTCGTGTTATCTTCGGCTGCGGCTGGGTGCCGACTATTGCGGGTTTAACTACGAGTGTTTAAATGTATAGAAAAATCGGCGACTTCTTTTTTCATTTTTCAACGTCATCGGTCGCCGTTTCTCGGTAGATCGATATATCTAATTTGGCTTTGCCCCTGCAGAAGCCTCTCAGTAACGGATCAAGCATTCTATGCCATACAACGCCGTGCTACAACAACATCAGAAGAATCGGAAAGAGGACCGAAAATTAAACGAGCGAGCATAACAGGATACAGACCAACCGAATAGGACCTAAAGCTTACTCGTTTAAGCATGTATATATATAAGCGCAGAATGACTGCATATGTAGAAGCTAGTTTCTGTCCGCGTAGTGATATAATGATGAATAGTAGGATAAACGTGCGCACTTTGAGTATAGCCCTCACATATATGTTTGGTTTAATATGAGGCAGTTCACTAGCCTATATATACATATATATAGGCTAGGATAGTAAACTTTAAAATAAATACTTTTGCACTGTGGAAGCAAAGGAAATAGTGAAACAATGGGGAGTTTTAGGTGCGGCTAAAATTTCCTCATTATGGGCTTCCCCCATGTGTATGTAATATATGCCCTGTTGCTCGATTCTTCCATCATGCGGGGCGCACATGCATCCGTTAGCTCGCGTAACGCTTTAACGTGAGGCGTGGCCGTTCGATAGCTGTCTTGTTATTGCATGGTTTTCTACGCACCTCTCGCTTTAGATTGGTAAGAAAATTGAGTTTTAATTCGCTGGAAGGTTTACGAAAAGCGTTTCACAGACGATCCCCTTCCGGTTTTCTCTGCTTCGCCGTTCCGACCCCTCAGCAGTGCATCATATGCATCTTTTAATAGCCAAAGAAACTAAGCAAGGCCGCACGTTCTATCTGTTGGGACTTCCGTTTATAACTGGTAATAAAAAGATTTATGTTATTATAACCGATTTTTCCTACATGCATACACACTACACTATACATGTTGCGTTTGGTAACTGCTAGCACTTCTTCCCATCTTCCCCTTAGCAACACTGTTCAGAATTAAATAGCGTATATATTGGCTTGATATGACATGTATCTACGTGTAGACATGGTAGATAAATGTTTTTTTTTTTCGATATTATATACTTTTTCGCGAAGTCACTATAGACAAAAACAAACGTAAAAAATCACGTAAAATAAATCTCTAGCACATGCCTTATACCACTACATAATAAACTAGTTAGCATTGCCTGTCGACTAATAAAAAACGTCCAGATTAAAACAATAGCCCTATGTTGTACGGAATATTGTGGATCTTCGTTGAGAACTTTATTAGAGGTTGGATTCAAGTTACATTTGATTAATTATCATCCGAAAAAGATTGGCATGTTACTGAGAACGGTTATCTTCTAAGCGGAACAATCGTAATGATCGCAATGTGTAGGTTCAATATAAGTCATCATCGTATATCTAACGTAGGGTAATTTTAAGCAAATATGTGTGAGTTCTTCATAATCAATTTACGGAATAAGTACGAAATTATATCCGAAATGCATGTCGTCTGCTGTTAGAGAAACATTTCCCGAAATAACTTAAATACATTTAGCAGAATTAAATGTTTATCATCGTCTACCAAAGTTCTTCTTCTATGTGTGTATAGAGAGAGATAATTCGTACGCGCTTTACCGCTCAAGCGCAAATATGTTATTTACTACTGTTTAAGCTGTGGAATATTGAACGAACGACTATCCCATTAGCTGTATTACTAATGGAATTCTTTTTTTTGCAGCGACTGCTCATATTTCTAATCCAGCGCTTAACCCCCGACAACCCCCCATATCTGTTCGCCTGATTCGAAACAATTAGCAGGCAATCGCTCCGAGAATCGTTTAAGTAGATACGAGCCTGGGTAGACTGAACATGCACTCATCAAAGTATCTCCTTGCTTTTTGTTGCTTAGACGTTCTAGCGGCAGAACATTCATACTTCAAACCAAAGTTTTCATTTCGCTAAGCGAAACTATTTAAAACGTCGGGTTTTTAGCTCAATTAGCAATACGTTTAACATTTTACGGGAGATTAATGCTACTTCATGGTTACACTTTTTCCTCAAAAGCTTTGACAATCATCGATACAATAGAATATACAGTATACGATTCGCTGAAAAAATTCGTACAATCTCTAATTATCTGTCTGTGTATTCTAATAACACTTCGTTTATCTATAGAAAGTACACAAAGATAATATGCCAACGGAATGTTGTTATGTTGTATAATGTAAAGTAGAATTGAGCAATTATTGACAAAATGTCTCCGTTCCTATGCATTTTTCGACGGCAGCCGAGAACGGAGGAATTTCTAAAGATACCGTTATGCATCTGGCAGGAAGTTTCTTTTGAAGTGATGTTACATAAAAAAATTTTTAACGGGCGCTGAATTGAACAAACTCAAGCCTCTGATTATTTGCGCTGGCTTTAAAGTTATTGGTCAAATTTATTGCTAGAAACAATTTTGTAGTACAATAAACCAGGGATCATTCATCGGTGATGAAAATTCAATTTACGTTCATGCTGATAAGTATGCTTTTTGAAAATAGATTTGTATTTTGTGTGACCTGCCAATGCATATATATACTCGTGGATAAAAACTGCTCAGGGAAGATAAGCTACGAACGAGCACGATTCAGTTGTATACCGGGATGCGATTGAATCTCAAATACCTGTTTTTTTTTTTCTATAAGTTACAAGAAGTTTTTTTGGTACAAATAATACGCGCTGAAAATTAGGTCACTTAAAAAATTATTCTTTTTCTCCAGAGCTACGCTATTGTGACTTGGGCAATGTTGTACCGATTTTGTCCTCAAAACATTTCTAAATACGCTTGAACTTGAACTTAAATGTAAACACATCTGCATAATTCTTTAATATAAAAAAAATCGGCTAAAAAAAAGGCACCCGAATTGGACCGTTATCGAATAAGATTGTTCGACGATTAATAAATAAAATTGAAATTTTCGAGGAAATTTGTATTTCTGGTAGTAACATGGTTACAGATTAGGAAGTCACTTGTACTTTGACGCGATGCAGAACCCTTTGCCTAGGGTGCATCGAGCTACTTGATGTCAATATCTAACAAGTTAAATCAGATATATATGCGATAGCTACGAGAAGTGTGAGCGTGTTTTGGAATTTCTACGCGAATTTGCTTATTTCGTAAGCATGACTTGTGATCAGAGGACAAAAAGTTTATACTTAACATTATTTTTTATTTACTTATAATTCTTAAGAACAGCCGAATCCGTGCGTCCGTTCACTAAAATGTTTGTCATTAGATCGTTTTCTGTTGAATACAACCAACCTTATCTTTGACTCCCCACATGCCGTCCTCGACCTTGGACAGGTCGTATGTAAAGCCAAGGTCCTGAGCGAACTTTTCCAGCAAATCGATACAAAATCCCATGCAACACCTATAGTAATTGGGGTGTCTGCGTGCCATCGTATCATTGAGCCTGCAAGATAAGCAAACGAAGACAAACTTTGTTTTGGAATCGTCTAACAGATTATCTAATTGTTTTTCTTTAGTTTACATGTAAAACGCTCAATTTGAGTTTATGTTACTTAGTCAATAAACTAGGCGTATGTGGGCTATTTTAGCACAATAATGCCTTCATAAATTATATTTTTTCTAGATTGTCAAACTGCCAAGGCATGATCTCCTTCGAGTAAAAAAATTCGTTAATTCTGTGAGGTAGGGCTAGCTTCCTTCCTTTTAGATGTTCAGTTCGGTGCTTAAATATGGCCTGATTCTACAACAAAGCGGAGAGAAACCTCAGGAGAGTGTTGAATAACCTAACAGAGACGAACGAGCTGTTTTTCTGGGTACTGATATGTTTCGGACGCTTGATTTGATCTCATTGTACATTTGATAAAGTATAAAGATCGAAGCTCAGGGGCTGTCGGGTACCGTATTTAAAATTGTCTATAGCTAACAAGCAGGTAGGAGTAGTATTCGATAATTGCGCTTTTTCTAATTAAATTGAGGTGATACCCAGCCAAGCTGAATAGGTCTTTGTGCTAAATATGAAGCGCTTACGTAAGATGTTCATGTGCAATTATCAAAACGACTGTAACACTTTTCATAATAAAGATAAGTTCTTTTCTCTATGCGAAGTTACTTAATTGGCCTAGGTGACTGCATCGGATAAATCCTATATTGTACTCATCGTACTTACCCAATAAGGGCCGATTCAGGCGCAATACGGCATTTTACGGCTCGACTGGACTCGCACTCGCCCGTCTCGGGATCGGGCAAGCCAACTATAACGAAGGGCCTCTCTTCCATAAAGGTCACTTTGAGGTTAAACTTTTCCGGTACACCTTTTGGGGGTTTACGCTCCTCCCCAGGCCAAATAATATCCTTTATGTCTACACCACTTTCTCCCCAATCACCGATCTATTTCAGATGAAAGGTATCGTGTACAAAGCCACCAATAACACGAAACATTCAAATGTGACAACTATAAAATTTATTATTTAGCTTATATTTTCATTGACATCAGCTATGTTTTCTAAGAAGCATTTAGGAATCATCATTTATTGGCAATTCCTCGCTTAAGATAAGCTTCCATAAGAATTTTTCTCGTAAAAGTTCAAAGATATATTACTTACTTTTTCCCAAACATTTCTCGCATCAAGGTTGAGAATGTCGAGATCAACCCTTTTCCGTGTTCCATCAAAGTTAAAAGCCACTGAATTAAACTTTTTACTTGTCCATTCAGTTTCCTTGAGGTATCTGCCAAAAAACGAGGAAAAGCAAGTGAAAATGGTTTTGTTATTAGCTGTAAGCGTTCCTTTTAGAATGAATATTTAAGTGCCTTTGATAATGGCCAAACATACACTGGCAAGTTTTGTAGAATTTTTGTACAGCAAATGTTACCGATTTGTGCTAGCCCGCTTGCTAGTAAAATGTTCTCGTGGTCTGTTAGGTCATAGGCCAGGCAGATTGGCCTCTGTTGCACTGACTAATAGAAGCACGCAAGCAATTATATCAATTCTGAATACTAATTCTCTTTGCTAGACAAAAAACTCAGCGTTCATGGCTCGACCTGCACAGCCTTCTACTGATCGTTTTATTTCAGCGATACCCGCTATCGGTCATCAAGCCTACAAAACGAAGGCTATTTGCCTCTGTCCATCCTGATCCATTAATCTTCCATTTCGTGGGGCAACAAAACGCAGAAAGTGGACTTGGAAATATCTTTCTAAAAATTCTTAGAGATTCTTCAGCCACTCAGCCGTTCGTCGAGAATAGGAGAATTCTATACAAAGAAGAAAAACAAAATTAAATTGGCAAAATCCAACAATTCCTAGAAGGTTTAATGTGCTCGCTCGAGAATGGTCAACGATGGGAATGCCAGACCCCCCTAGGAATTTGACATTCAATACAAACTTTGTGTATTGTATCGCTGGAATACAAAACGTCTACAAGACCAAAACCCCCTTTTCTAAAACTGCCATCCTATTCACTCCGCCATCTCAATATCACAATATTTCCCAGTCTTCCTGTAGAACTTATGTCACTGGACGTAGGCTATTTCTTCAAATTTGCTGATCCCACAATTGCCTGGTCACTCCGAACCTAGCTGTTTCACTGAGGGTAGAACTGGTTTTTGCTACCTCCAGCGTAAAGATCCGTAAAAGATCTAGGGCGTGAAAAATTACTACAAGTTATCAAGCGATTTAGTAACCGCTTCTCTAGTCACAGTTTCTCAATGTTACCCTGCTGAGCTTGTTCTTGTGTAAATACTGAGCAGGAGGAGTAAAAAAGGACCGGCCGATGGCGGTAGTTCCTTTTATCAATATGTTCAAGAAGCCTTTGTATTGTCTTTATGTGTTCTCTAGCGTCTGAACTAAGCAGAAAACCGAAAGGTGACTGCGAAGTACAGGCGAAGTTCGCAGATCGTTCTAATTCCTTTCCTCTAGCTCAGCGTAGCAGAGCTAATAGGTACTGAACTGACTCACATAAGAAATAGACGGAAGAGCATGCCTCCATGTGTTAACACTACCTAACCTGATTCGAGCAGAGGATGGCTATAAGGGACGCGTGCGAAAGAAACGGATTAAGGTTGGGTCAAATCAGGTACAATATATAGCGAGAGGTTTGGTTTAGCAAGGTAGGCTTATCAGTTTGCTAGGAAGTTTTAGGTCTTAACAAAGCCGATCCTTAAAGATTAAGGCTTTCCGTGAAATTCAGTATTGTTGTGTATTATCATTTTGCCCCGTTACATCACAAGTGGGTACAAAATGCAAATGGCTAATTCGGACTTACGGATCGGTACGATCAACAGGCAAATGATAGTTCAGAATTTAGCACTTGTTATAATTAATGTAAAAAGAAATATACAAAACGTATGGCTGTTTCGACTAGGAAGAGGTGTGTTACATGGGAGAATTAAGATGTGATTGCTCATTCGAACATTAATCCATGTGTAAGCTTTACAGCTTAATACTTACTTGTAGAACTCCTCCCCTTTGCGCCAGTAGCTGTACTCTGAAGCATTGCACGTGAGCCCCGTTGACAGTTGATTACGATTTTCTTCTGTTGTATGATTCACTAAACGCTCCAACGCGGACGCGAATATATACATTGACTTTTCCATTTCATCCAGCAGAACCGGCAGTGTAAAATTGTAGTACATCCCTGCAGAACGATAGGAAAAAAGTAATTAATAAAAAATAATTATCTTCCAGTGAGAATAATTATTTATGAAAAAAGTCATAGAACCTATACTTCAAAAGAAACCGTTACGAGAAGTCGACTGAGAACAGTGAATACAGGTAGTTCAACCCTTAATACTAATACAAGTTGTGATACCCTAAGAGGTCCTCTAACGATTTAATTATTGGTGATAGCATAAGCGGAGTATAAGTGCGACCTTTGTTTTTGGTTCTGGACGACTATGCCAGCTCGTGAGTCACTAGCTCGGCACGATAATTCGGGCATACATACAAATTTTTGAATATCAAACACGTGTTTTTTAAGGAAATATTAAAACTCGATTTAATATCTTCCACGTAAGCCGACTATGGTGCGAATCAGGTATATTCGGAACTCCTGTCGATAGGCTCTAACCCTCAAGAAGAATCTTTAAGCGGTGAGATTCTCGAAAGCACATCCCCTGTTATCTAGAGCTAACACGATATATTATACGTCTCTCGCAGAGATCTTTGAAGTTATCTGGGGCCTACTGCTGCTTCTGTCCAACCGGGAACTTATTTCATTACGAAATACAGATAGTGGCATAATGAAGTTCTTGTGATGGTCCTGTTTGCGACCCACTCTATGGCCATTTTTCATCCTCGTCGTAACAAAGGGAATAAAAATGTCATGAAGAAACCTTCTTTCTTGTGTCTGTCATTGGGCACGTCAGCGACAACTGATTTGCTGGAAAGTTTCTGCCGTCCGCCATCGATCAAGCTGTTGCTAGCGTCGCTCCGGAAAAGGGTTTATCGAAGATCGGATCGCAAACGTTACATAATGTTACGTCGAATAAAAGATTTCATGACGGCTATCTCTATTTTCCCTGTTGCACTGAATTACCACCAATGCGCCATTGGTCCGAGCGGAGCAGGCAGATCTCCATTTTTCTCTCTTTCAACGCGATCGAATATACTTCAGGTCCATTCTGTTATTCTAAAGGGATAGAAAACACTAGTACACACCTGGACGACGTTACTTTCAGCTACTGTCGATTTCGACACTTTACATTCGACCCTAATGCTCCATCGATATGCGAGGACGATAAAGCAAACTACAATTCGGGATCAGATATATATATTTCAGGGGAATAGATAAACATAGGCGGACTGATTGTCCAATGATACCTATGAGTCCCGTTGGGAATTCGGCAGGGGATCGCTCCGCGGAACCAATCACAGCCTGCGTTACAATCCATGCGTAATTCTTTCCTGTAATAAGTAATGCATATTAGGGGAAGCACTTAGCACGACCCTAGTATATCACCGTGCATGCATGCATCCGTTTAAAATCATACTGATGTTCTAGCACGCCAAATAACAAAGAAGTGAGACAACTTCGCTGAATATTCCCCTATTACCCAAACAAGAAGTTTTATTTATTAAAATCCCAAGTGACATTATCGACACATTGCTTTTGCCTGCCTTAAATTCACTTCATTCCATAAAAGTATGAGATTATGTTCTAGAATGCTTAAAGCATGATGTTCTTGTATGCAAAGAGTATTGGTGCCCACCTGTGATTCCATGTCTACTTGACGCTAGAAAGATCTCTCGTGCATCCTCTGTCCCGCAAAATAGAACGATTACTCGTACCTCACCGTCTGCCAGCTCCTGTAGCAGATTAAAATATTTATCAGCATCGCCGCCTCGAGGAAGGGTGTGAGCAGCGATCAGGCTATACCTGCAATTAAACAAGTATTAAAAAATATAGATCATTTCAGTTTACTTAATTAAACTCGAGCGATTTTGCGCGTAAATTAAGTGGATAGGTACGAAGGGCGCGTTCTCGTTTCTGGAGCGGAATAAGGAGCTTTAATATAAATACTATTTTATCAGATGAGATTAGACGACACTGTGTGTTTCTCGCCGTTTTATCTATCTATCTATCTTCAAACAATGCACGCATAAAATATCTTCCGCGTATCCTTTAATACATCACCATTTCTTGTTGGCTCAGCCCCCATGGTCAATCCGTCATTTAATCTGTTCGCTTTGACTTATTACGCACATGTTACAGCATAGGCGTGTCTCGTAGTAGCTAAGTATTATTTTACGATGCAATCACACGCGTAGTCGGTCATCCGATGGTCGCGGAAAAAGGCCGTCGATTGAGTCATTGAAAACCGAGTTTTTGCTTTGCGCTCCGCGCTTCATTCCTTCTTGTGGCCTTCTCCCGTTGACTTATTCCTATCTAGTTCACCCTGTCTATTCTATCTCGTAGGACCAGGAAATCAGCACAACTCTGTCGGTGTCTAGACGTCCTCTTGCTATTGTTACTGATGTTTTCACACTGATCTTAGCAGCGGTTGCTGGCATCGTCTATACTGCCATTAGCTTCTGTGATGGTATCAAGGGTTAACCCTCTGAAGGGCAACCCAGCTTTGACCACTAGGGCTGCCCGCTTCTAAAGACTATTCCATTTTCACCGATTGGCTTCGTTCAGTTTAGCTTTTCTAACGGTCTCTTCCGCCTGATGCCATTCAGCCTTTCGATTGTTCGTCCACTAGCGTCTATGCCTTGGACGTTCGGTCTAGCATCGTCGATTGGGCGAAAAAGGGGCTTTTTGTTCAATCGATTAATAGGAGGAAGCTCAAGAAGGAGAAGACTTATATTTTGGTATTACCTACCCGTTTTATGGAAAAAGCAATTAAGTTAATATACGGGAGTCACCCGCTTAAAAAACACCAGGCTCGAAGCATTCGAGTCTCAAACCAGTCTCTGAGGAAGGCTGTTGGATCCAGGAAAGAATAACAAATCGTAGGTTTACTGAAAAATACACATTGGTTGCCATAGGCTGGACATTAGCAAAGCACTGGCTAAAGAATGTGTAATGGAGAACGAGCGATGCCTGAAGGGCAAAGCCATCGCCCAGGGTTATTGCCTTAAATAGATGTGGAGGCTGAACGAAGCACGGAGCTGATGCCTACATACGTCGTACATTGTAATCAAGATCCAATCGCACAGGTTTCTAGTAGCTTCTTTTCAACGTTGCTTACGTGATCGAGATTGATGCTGAAACAGCACATATATATATCTTTATATAGCTCCCTATAAAGGTAGTATATATATAGGGCTTTTGGGAATGTAAGTAACGAGTTGCCAATCAAATACGTTTATCTAGAGATAAACCAGTCATTAATCCTGAACGCGTATTTGTATCTGTCAGTTGATGCCGCTGACTGTCTATTTGTGAACGTTAATATAGAGAAACTGAGCTATATACACTGATATTGATGTACATTTTTGCGTGCAAAACGAAGCAGGTTTAACGTCTTTCCATAGACTACGATTGGCAAATTAGAGCCAATTTCACACAGCTTCAGCAAGACACAGTCTCATGTCTTCTATCAGTTTTGTGCTTATAGAAAGAATAATCTTCATGGAATATCCTAATAGCTACATTTTAACCTTCATATCTGGCCGCATAGCTATTCTATGCGCAAGCAGTGCAGATAGTGGAGAAAGCTACTTCCCTTAGAGAACAACGAATTGAGGACCTTGTTTCGCTCTCCTCTTTTATTGCTATAGCATTCAATTAAACAAAACAAAACAAAAAGAAGTGTATCACCGATATACGGCAAATAATAATTGACTAATGAGAACTAGGCCAAAAAATGAAAATTAGCCTGTCGCTATCAGTAGAGGAATAAATGAGAAAGGAAGGCCGAATGGCACCAACTTAAATGGGTCTATTACTTGACACCACGTTCAAGTTCGATGCAGATTTACTTCGTGTCACTTGAGTGACATTACCACGAACCACGAATAGATACGCGTTTGTACGAAGTAAGCGGGTCAATTTTGAGTCTATGAGTCATATCGCTTGAATTCCAGTTACTGCTAGACATTTGTTGAGTGATAATACTCTCAGCCTACTGGTAGCAGAGCGCTGAGCAAGTTAAAGCCAATGGAACAACAAATTTATCGACTGCGCCTTTGTTTATTGTTACTTTGTTGGATGTTTTTTAACTGCTACCAGCAAAAGAATATATTTCTATGTATTTTTCTCAGGAATTGATTCTTCAGGTTATAATACGATTGAGTGCGGTACCTTTGGAACTACCCTATGGGCCTGTTTTTGTTAGCAATTGTGACGCGAACTTTTATCAAGCAGTCGTTTTTTATTTGTTGCCGTAAATAACTTGCTTCGGCGAGAGGTAGAAAAAGCGTCTCTTTTTAAGCGTGCCAGATTCAGCGGCAGGTCAGCTTGTAAACTTTAAAACGATTATCAATGCATTAAGGGTCAGAGTGGTGTTCTACTCCCTACAGTCTAACGTTGAATTGACTCAAAAGATTATACGTTAAAAAAAGAGAAGGAAGGGCGAATAGATATGTTTGAGGTGTACTCAAAGAATACATGCTAGCCGATTGTATGATATAGACAGAAACTCACTTGTGTTGTTTGTGGAAGACCTTTTCGCGTATGGCGCGAATAAAATTTTCATGGCCGGCCAGCTGAGTCGTTATGATGGCAAATTGGGTCCACTGATAGCGGTCCAGGAAGTCGAAGATCGAGTTTACTTGGTGGTCCACGGAAGGCGACAACCCCAGAATGTGAGCGTCTGTCACCCGCTGTAATCGAATAATTCAAAGCCAATTGGATGGTTCACTGAACTAGAGACTGTTTCTGGTTCTCCACCTTCTTTCGTCTTACTTAACTTGACTCATTGCACTGCCGCTTTTTTAGTGCATGCAAAACGGATTAATAAAGTTATCCGTTAAAAGTATACTAATAAATTACTCGGTATAAATAGAAACCTTCAATTCATTTTTTATTTTAATAATGTTTACTATTATATATACGAGATAGAAATCAAATCTGCAAAAGATTATGCTGCACAGTTTTCAGTATATTCGTGTGCAAGTACACGACGTTATTTTAAACAATCTGTTATACATTCGTACTAAACAATTAGAAATATACATTAAAACTATAGATATTGTCGTTGTTTATCTTCCATTTTTTGTTATTTGTATGTAGCACCTCATCAAGAGCGATGTTATCAGGGTTCCAGGAGATGACAGGAATGCCAAGGTACCCGAGTAGTTGGTGAACGTATTCAACCGAAGCGGCGTTGGAACCAAACGTCTCTGAGTTGGTAAAATAACCCACGCTGAGGACGGAGGCGTTGAGTATCTCCGTGCAGAGCGTGTCTAGGATCTCGCGAGGCGTTGGCGCCAAACTCAGGTACACCAGCTGAAACTAATGGACAAATGAAGCAGTCTGGTAAATTTTTCGGCACCATGGCTTACCAAAGGTTCACTGAACATAGCCGCTTACATACATTCATAGCTATAACATGGGTATTGTGATTTTAAGGAAGAAAGACTGTGTGAGCATCTAGATTATCAATTAGGACATCTAATCAACGCCATATTTGCACTTAGCAACGGGTAAGGATAGTTCACATTGATAGCTTAACTAATTTTTCAAAATCGAGGACATTTAAAAATCGGAACGCATTAGATGTAGCACTAAACCTAGGATAACCAGCCATAAATGGTAGGTAATACAAAATAATTTTAACAAACAATAGATGTAATTTGCTTATTGCCCCAACTAACGGCCTATTCATTGGCTGTAGCACACATATAAAAAAACACCGACCTGTAGGGAGTAATGTTTATTGAGGTGGTTGCCGGGAACTTTTCCATTCTTTATTTGGTTGAGCGCTTCGTTTATAGTACTACGGTACTTTCTTCGCACACTTTCAAAACGCGTACTCGGCACAATCATCACATATGTGACATTAGGTCTATTTGGATTGAGCTCGCCGTTGCCACCAGCTCCGTCAACGGTATTCGCCCTATGCATATCCGTTAGAAGGTTTTGGTTGTTTTTGTTAAACTGGCCAATCTGTATCCCACCTTTACGTCCACCTCGACCCGGTAAATCAATACCCCCCGCGTCTCCCACCAGCAACACGGCCCATAACGCTGCTACCAGCCAGAACGCTTGGGTGGGCCAGCTCGACCTCGTTCGGCTACAGCTAGCAGTATCATTGGTTGCTTCGTCTCGGCTGCCTCTTTGTGCCGTTGTCCTCATCCTCAGCTTCATTATCATTGCTGGCGTCACGGGCTGAACCGTTATTATTGTTATCATCTCCAGAGTCCTCGCTACAAGTTATTTCACGCCAAGACGCCGGAAAGGCTACAACGTCTGCTGGTGCGCATCAGTAGCTACTGCCTCTACGGCAGCAGAAACATCGTTGCGGCAATCAATGCAGTGATGTCGCGATGCCGGTGTTGTTGTTCCCGTTCCCGGTCGATTGAGGATCGCAAGTGTCGCAGAGTGATGGAGATTGATGACTTCGGCGGACAAGGACGCTGCTGCTGCTGCTGCTGCTGCCGGCGGTGCCGTCTGCAGGACTGAATCGCAGCAGACGGCGGGTGGCTGAAACACTCGCAGGCATTGCGAAGCGCAGCGATGCGCGCGAGGACTCGACGAAACTCTCGTCGGAAACTATAAAAAGAGTAACACAGAAGAGAAGACACAAGGAACCTAATTTTTGCATTTGCGTCATTCAAATATAAAAAGTGAACTAAAAAAAATTTAAAAAAAGCACCTAATTTTGGACATGACTAAGAAATTACTAACTCGATATTTAGTTATTGGTGATCTAAACTGTATATCCCAGCTTTGTCAATGCGTGATTTTATGGATAATTAAAAACCCTGATAAAAAATTATTCATTTATTAGTTTATGTTTTTCAAAAGAAGATCACTTAGACGCGTTGTCTGTGACTCAAGTGTAATACTTACTTTGAAAACTGTCTATCCTCTCTAGAGAAAGTACTTTACCTTTCAAGTTTAGGTACCGATAAACATCTATATATCTTTCATTACCACCTGTTCGAAGGACAGAGGTACTGTAGACAGCGTCTGTTGGGCTTTCCGCTTTTTGACACGTATCTGTAATATCTACCTTATTCAGATCAATCAAAAAATCATCGTCGAACTGTCTTCATTTGTTACTAGCGGATTGCATAAATCCTCAGTCTCAGTGCATTAGATTGTCTACGCTCGATGTTAAACAACCGCTAGAAAATGCTGAGCTACATATATCAGATGGAAAGCAAATTTCACTGCACCTGCCTCGTTTGAAAACACCTTTGCTTCTAATTAGGTTTCCATAAGAGCTAGTCTGTAGAAACGTTAATTATAGAACACGTATAGCTGTCGAAATCAAAGAGAATTAATTGGAAACGTGGTAACACAACGACGATGAGTGGGTTTTGTCATGTCCCACAAAAACAAAACGCATGATCTAGTTTACAATGCTAGCTAGCTTTTTTCGATCCTATCGGTACATAAGGCACTCCATCTTTAAACATTAGACAAAAACTTTTAAGATGTCTGATCCATTGTCATATACGGGGGTCAGTTTTGAGATTATAAAAACAGTCACTTATTGTGAAAAATTGAACCAGGCGAACGTATTTAGAGGATAACTTCAATAGGTTAGACGATGCAAAAGTCTCATGTCTAATCTAAAAAAACTAATGTTCCTATAATGCGAGATCATGCTGTTTGATTACAGCATGTAATAACAACTGTGAGACTATGCTTAATTTATGTTTTTTTACAAATCCCGTCGAGTGTTATCGATTTGTTTGCAAAGAGTTTGCACCTATATATTTCTCCCTGCTCGTTCGGATTAAGTAGGTTAGCAAATAATACATAACGCCTATGTTTTGCCGACGGTGGTAATATTTTCCTTCGTCACACTCAACTATTATATACCTCTGTAGTAATACAAAAAAGGCTTCGGTGGAAGAATAACATACAGTGTTTGAAAGCTTAAGTTTATTAAGCATTCACTCTTATGACTAGAATCTACCAAGTATAGTCTTGGTGTATTTCAGCCGTTATAAATTATATAGCCTGTCGACCATATAATGCAAGCGCATACACAGAAAACAAAACTCTCCAGCTGACAAATGACTTGGCCGGTTATGAGCTATTTGATAAGATGAAGAGATCTTGACCTGCTACATGATTATCCTATAGGTTTCCGTAGAGAAAGCACCTCCGTTGAGGGAAACACACGCCCTTAAGGCTGCTCTGTTGATGTTGACCTTCAGAGTCTTGCCTCTCGGCTACCAAGATTTTAGAAATCATCCGAAGCTATCGGCATGATTACCAATGAATAGAACTTTGCCTTTCAAAATATTCGGTGCTTACTGAGGCGGATATATTGACAGCGCTGGGATACCAAATGCGAACTAAAGAAAATGCCTGAAATCAGCTAGAAATAGGCTGTTTAGGATGTGTAGGATTCGATTAGTCATATGCTGGACTTCGCAGGGAAGAGGATGTGCCAGGCCATCAAAAAAGTCGATTCATATGTTGTAAGGTCAAACATGTACCTAGGGAAAAATAGATATTGGCTGTAGTGCTTGCCGCTATTTCTCGATTTCCGTTCCAGCACGATGGCTATACAAGGTTTTGAGTGATACTGCTGAAATGACGATAGTTTCGTTAAACACTTATTACTAAGCGCTCGGTACGACAACAGAGCACGTTAATCACGACGCGTATTTTTTTTTCTGCTTTTGTGCGGTCGGTATGACAAGTGTTGATGATACAGATCTGTTACCCACAAGGCAAGGACCGTTCACTAAACGTCATGTAATTTAAGTCACAAACGCACTAGTTCAGGAGAGTGCAAACACGTACTATATAAAGTTTGTTCATTCTGGCTTGTAACGATATCTGTGACTTGAACATATCGAGTGTTTGTTGACTTATTTCTTCTCTCCGATCAGACAAGCTGAAGTATCAGCAATTGCGTAGAATTGGAATTGATTCAGGAATATCTTTAGCGCTCGCATTTATATTGTGTATGTGCGTGTTTTTTTTTGTAAAAGACATGGCCTTTTCGGCCAGTCTTCAGCAGATTCTCTGTTACTGCTAAGCTCGTATGAAGTAACTTTCGTCCATACTCATATTCAACATTAAAAAGCTCGTGAGCTAAAACCGTAACGGCCGCTTGTGCCCGTTTTCACCTGCATCCGAAGGATTTGAACTAAATTATTTTCAAATAGCTAACGATTGCGATCTAGCATCTAATATAAGCTCCTAGCAAAAGTTGCCGATACCGAATAAAAAAAAATTGAAGGGTCAACCATTTTAAGAAATTTATATTAGAAAGTGACGCTGCTATTGAGGAACGTATTTTCTTTTAAATAAATAAAAAAAAAAAAAGGATTCTTTTAAATGACAAAAACTTTACCTTGTGTCTGTTCCGTCTGGAGTGCTCTTTAATCATGTCAAATTTGTCAAACAATACAAGTAATTTCAACGCAGAAATTTCCGATTTTGCAATTCATATTTGCGCCTAACATATTTTTCTAGGCGCTCTATAGAAAAACTTAAACCAAGTTGTTTACATGTCGGTCTTGGAATACTATCTACTGCCTGTGCATTTACGCATAAGCCTCATTTTATTATAACAGAAACATACGCAATATGAACTGAGTACGGCCGGATCAACGTTTCGTTACATTCAGGATAATTAAATCATGAGAACGCTGCGCTGAAAAAATCTATTTGGATGACAAATAGTGGACATATAATAAACTAGAGAATGCGAAAGTTATGACACTTAAGCAAGGATGAGACACTGAATGAACGTGATAGCTGACTACTTCAAAGAAGTACGTCATGTAACCCTATTCATAGACGATAGTAAGGTCAGTGTATTGCCTACGAAAGCCATTTTGGATCGGCATGTAGACAGCTCGGTCTTTGAGCGTTTGGTCGCTATATTCACTTTGCAGAGATGCAAAACTCTATTTTTTTTACGAAAATCTTAAGCCAGATACTAAACAGTTCGCCAAAAAGCCTGCTATTCATGTCCTGCCATTAGGACATATAGATATGCATCTAGCCTAAATCTATGAAATGTTTTCACTTCGACTGAATTTCGTTGTATAAGCCAGACGCTTATAGCCTGCAAAATCGGTGGCGCTGTTTCAGTATTTTGCCTGGTTGGGAATATCCGCAGTTTATTACTTCAGGCCAATTGTCCTGCACTTTTATGTCACAAGACTGTTAGCGTTCATTTTCCAGACTACATAAGAAGCTAGGATGAATTCCAGCTGCAAGATTTTTTTCTGTTTTTTTTTGTCTTAGTGCGCACGACTTGTTATCGAAGCTCTCCGGCATTATCTCGTTTGCCACGCAGAGCTGCGTGTTGACGTTCTGCTGTCGTTAAAAACGAATAAAGAAATATCAAGTTTGTAATTACTCTTTCTCAGTGACATAGACGTATCCTCCTCCGGCTACGCAGGTTGTATTAAAAGGTAACGATGTGGTTAATAGAAACAAGGCCTAGATCGTATCTGCACTTTTCCTAGTACCCACCAGCATTTCCGCAAACTTAAACTTATTGTGATCAAATACACGTGCTAAGATGGGTCAAAGTCTTTCTGGATTATGGGCTGGTTTTCCATTGCATATTCAGATACACTTCAGTAGAGAGCTGTGAAGTATCATACTTTAATTTTATAGATTCATTATACTTCAATTTAAAAAAATAAATTTTAATATTCATCGTAATTTCGTTATCTCTCGTTAACTCTCAATCACTAAGTCTGAGCGAGCTGTTCGCTTTTATAAATTAAGGTATCAAAAAGTGACCAATACTTGATCTGAAGACATGCGCCAGCAGACACTCATGTGAGGCGAAAGTCAACTTCCTTGTTCTTTCTTTGCATATAAGTTACTTTCTACTTGAAGATTTGCACGAGGTATTGTTTGAAAGCAGTAGCAAGTATGTGTATCGAATAAGATAAAACAATAGCTTTGACGAATCCAACATATTTCTTCAAAGGAAAAACAGTGGATTTCGATGGCATCATTTTCTGACGGCTGTACGACTCGTGGGCCACGTTCCTGTCAACGATTGTTTCTATCAATCGGAATTCATTATAGAACAAAAATACTTTCGAAATGTTTATCCCTGCGTCTTCATCAACCCGGCATAGAGGACCGCGTTGTCCGCCCTCGTTCATAAGCTTAAATGGACGCATCCAACACCCCGAGTTACTGCTTCAAAAAAGGGAAAAAGAATCGTTATCGTTAACGGAACAAAAATATTTTGTAAAAAAAAATCTGCGATAGCTGTGTTGACATCTTGACATCGCGGGGACAAGACACTCTTTGGACAGTACAAAATGCCTCTGTTAGCAGCTGCTATGGCGATCATTTTGTTTTGAGCGTCATCTACGCTACTGCGTTTACCGAGAGTGATGAAGCAGCTGTGCTTGAAGGTGCGAAGAAAGCAGGGAATGCAAGAACTTCTAGGAGAGGTCCTACATTAAATTCTTATGTATAGTTCTTTTACACAGCCGGAAAACGGTATGCAACATTTGTCTAGGATTTAAACTATTACATCTGTGTGTGCTTAATACAGGCAGAAGGCCGATGTCGGCGTTGGTCGGGATGCATGCTGGAGC